CAAATAAATAAATAAATAAAATCTTAAAAAAAATTCTAGATTGGAAATGATTCTCCTTTGACAGCATTGCTGTATTATTTTCTAACTTCCAAGGCTGTCTTTGAGAAGTTTGATGGCATTCTGATTCTTAATCCTTGTGACAAGACCTACTTATTCTCTTTAGAAGCTTGTGGAACTTTCTCTGGTCCCAGGGTTCTGAAACTTCCCACTGGTGAGGGTCTACTTCCATCCATCAGAAAGAACCCGGTCTTTGCAGTCTGGAAGTTCACCTCCTTCAGTTTTGACACACATCTTTTTGAACCAGTGAGTTGATTTCACGTTTTCTCTTTCTGGAATCCCTATTACTGGATATCGGCTCTTCCGGGCTGGCCCTCTGATTTGCCATCTCCGGCTTTTCTTCTATCTCTTTGTCTCTCCGCTGTGCCTTCTGTGACATGTCCTTTTTCTCCCAACCCTCGTACTGAGTTCTTCACTTTTGAAGAAAATTTCCACGAGCACTTTTAAAAGCTTCATTGTTTTCCAATTCCAAGAGCTCCTGCTTTGTACCCTAGACTTGTCTTTCTCGCAGCCTTCTGTTGTTTCTCGGTTGTGTCTTAACCCTCTGAGGCTGATAGTGTCTACTGTTTCTTTCTTCCCTAAGTCTGTTAACTCCACGTGTTGGTTTAGGCTTCCATCTTCTGTGTTAAAGGCTTCTCTCCAGCTGTCTTTGAGCACGTGCTCATAGTAGGAGCCGGGGGCAGGGGTGGACCAGGTAATCAGAGCATGTGGATGGCGCTTCAGAGCAGGGGGTCGGGCCAGGCACGGCTTTTTTGTGTTTTCCCTGGTCTCTTCCCTGGAGGCTGTCGTATTAAGCATTTGCAGGCACACGGTTCTCACCTGTGTGTGGTACCCTCCGAGACCGGCCCTTTGGTGGACTGTGGGAGGGGCAGCTGTTCTGCACTAAGGACCTTGACTGTCACCCCCCTCCCCGCTTCTGTGCCGTCCTCCCTGTTGCAGAGGCAAGGGGGCCCGCTTGGGTGTCTCCCGTCTGCTGAGGTAGTTAACCCCTGACCACGTGCCCTCCAGCTTCAAAAATCTGGGTGTTATCCTTTTCTGTTCTCGACCTGGAGAAGTTTCTTCCCCTATTGTTTTGGCCCCTTTACTAGAGTTTTAGCGACTTTGAGGAAGAAGGAAAATTAAAGTGTGTGCAACTATATGTTCACCCAAGCCGCAAGTGAGCCTCCTGATTCGGAGAGGTCAGACTCAGCACAGCTCTGCACAGTCCTGGTGGCGTCCGGGTCTACCCAGGATGAGCTGCAGCGTCTCCTCCTCAGTGGGCATTCAAAGCCGTTCACTCCACACACTGCACAATTCCATTTATAAAACCTCAGAACCAGACACACCTGCATCAGCAGTTGAGAAGCTGATGATCCCCGGGGGGGCCTCTGGGCAGAGGTGACGTTCTGGGTCCTGCCTACCCAACCTGTTCAGGCTACGCACACGTACCAAGCCTTGTTCTTATCATTTGTGCGCATTTCCTTCTGGGTGCTCTGATTCAGCGCGAAAATGGCTTCAAGTAATGTGCTCCTGGCTGCCTGGCTTTGTGGGGGAAATGGCGCCTCTGATCCGTTTTGGCAAAGGGAAAGCAGCTCAGGCTAGAGCCCAGCTCCTGGAGGTTTGGAGGGAGGAGGGAGGTTGCCTCTGTCCCTTTCCAGGGCACCATTTTCCAGGTGTCTGGTGCTGCCGCCTCTGCTTCCTCCCCTTCCACTGAGGGCAGCCCCACCCGCCCCGAGCCCGCTCCTGGGGCCGGTTGTCCTCAGGGGGCCTCTGGCTGCAGCCCTCGGTCTCTCAGTAGTGCCCACAGCTGTCCTCACCACACTCCTCTCTTTCTTCCGAGGCAGCCCACACCTGTTTCCCTCCTGCCGCTCAGGCTGTCCCTTCTTAGGCTGTCTGGCCACTCTGCCGCGTCCGCGCGGTGCCGAAGCGCCAGCTCTCCCCGCCGCCCAGTCCTGCGGCCTCCCCCCCCATCCCACACCCTATACTTAAGTGGCTTCATCCAGACCCAACTTTAAAATCCCACTATGATACAGACAACCTTCAAGCCCTCCCCAGCACAGGCCCTCCTGAGCTCCAGACCCCTCTCCAACTGCCCCTTCCTGGGGGTCTCCACTTGGACACATCACAGGTGCCTCAGATCCCCCAGTGGCAGGACTCCATACCCGCCCCCAACCCAGTGAGTGGATCACAGCACCCAGATGCCCAAGTGAGAAGTCCAGGGGCCTTCTGATTCCTTTCCTTTCCTCGCCCCATTTCCAACAACCCTGAGTCCTGCTGACATGACTGTCTCAGGCCATAGTTGTCCCCATGGCCGCCCCAGGCCAAGCCACCGTCACCGACCATCTCCGGCCCCTCTAGGGTGTTCCATAGCCAGTGGTCTTAAAGCCTAGAGTTCCCATCACTCTGGGCCTGACAGCCCTTTTGGGATCCTCCTTGTCCCCCTCCAACCAGACTAGCCCCTCACCACACTCCAGTCACAATGGCCTCTCAGTTCCCCAGACAAGTCAGACGAGTCCCCCCTTCCCATCCTCTGCCTGGAACGTTCTTGCTTCAGACTGTCCCAGAGATCCTCTCCACACGGGTCTCTGCTCCTGCCAGTCCCTGCTGCCTGGCCCTGCAGCGCCTTCTTCCCAACCTCCGCATGTCTCCTGACCGCAACACAGCTGTCCCGAGAGCGGCCCCAGCCCTAGTTAGTATCTGAGGACCAAAACCCTAGGCAGGCCCATGAGTGTCTCGCTCAGTTGGGTTGTCTAGAGAGTTGCAGGACAGGCCGTGGCCTGCTCTGCTGCCTTCAAGCCTGCTGGGAGCTGTTTCTCTCCCTCAGGCTTCAGGCGCCCGCGGACCCACAGTCGGAGCACCTACAAAACACGCACGATGACAGCGCCAGTGGAGAGACACAGGCCAGGTAAGGCGGGGCCTCCAGCCCAAGTGGCGAGCGATTCACTCTCAGAGACAAACGTGGGGCACAGAGACGGGCCCCGGCTTTTCTTTCCCATCTGGCCCAGGCTTGCTGCTGACCAGCTCTACGAGCTCAGCTGGGTCTGTTCGTAAAACACGGGGCCGGGGAGTTCAGAGGGCGGAAGCGGCCCGCGTTCTAGAATTAAAAGCGGCCGTGGCTGCGGCCTGCGGCACTCACGCCGCCCAGGGCCGCACGCACTGCAGACCGGCCCGCAGGCGCCCACCCCAAGTGCCTGAGAGTCTCTGAAATGAGAAAAAGTGACTCCACGTGAGAGCATCACTGTTCACTGGAGACGGTGTCCGCCGAAATACTTGCCAGAGAAAAAGAATGTGCTGGAACAGACACAGGCCGGGCCCAGGCTGGTCTTCCAGTATTCTGCTCTCCGTTAAGTGAGCTCGCCACGGGGCAGAGAACAGGGCAACAGAAAATCCAAGCGGGCCGAGCTCGCGGGCACGGAGCAGTCTGCCGCCGTGCAGACCAGACCCGGGTCTCACCCTCCCTGCCGCCGGGTGTAGCCCAGATGCTCCAGCGGAGCGTCTGTTTGAACCCGTTGTCCCCACAAGGCTCTGAGAAGGCCTGAACCGCACTTGTTCAGGCAACTAGAACTCAGTAACCATGAGACTCCTTCGGGAGACGATCCGGTTCTGGTTCACCCACGGGGGTCCCAGAAAGGCTTCCCGTTCCGAAAGCCTCGGCCCCCGTGGATGTTAGTGCTGGCGTGGGGGTGGCCAGTAGAACTCACATCAAGTGTCCCTTTAGGAACGACCCGGTGAGTGTCACAGAGAAGAGAGAGAAAACATCAGAAGCTAGAGGGAGCGGCCGGACTCCGAGCAGCCCCACAGAAGAGCCTCTGCTGAAGAGGAAAGACGCCCCCAGACCCAGACAGGACGGGGGTGACGTCCCCCTGTGGAGGGAGCGTCCGACTTAGCAAATGGGACTGGCCCGGAGGGGTGGGCGTTTTCCAGCCCACACATCGAGATTGGGATATCTGAGAAAAGGCTGTTCCCTTCATGAAACAAAGAGTCATCACTGAACAGCAGAGAAACCCAGAAACTCTGACAGGCCCTCATTTCAGATTCTTTCGCCTTAACTAAGCTTCACTCTTCCCGGTGTCTGCACTGCACTGCATGAAGCCCTGGTCCTCCTCAGGAGGCTGGGGACTGGGGATGGCATCCCGGACCACGTGGAAAAGCCCCTTGCTGCTCGGGCCCCTCCCAACCGTCTGTGGGCCCAGCGTGCACCACCCTGAACCTGAGATCGTGGGACTCTGGCACAGTGCAGTGCTTCCCCTGCCTCAAACAAATTCATTGTCCCTGAGCCACAGCCCCCCCGCCAGTAAGCTGTGCCCAGTACCCTGGGCACAGACTCAAAACCGTGGCTCCGGTTTTCTCCTTTCGCACAAGGACCGAGCTCACGGAGCAGAGAAGTGGCTGGCGGCGTGTGTGGCAGGAGGCGGTCACAACTTCTCTGCTTTTTCCTGCGTTTCCAGACGACGGTCACTCTCGCGTGTTCACCTTCTATCGATAGTAAAGGATGACCCCGAAGTGACTTTTCTCCAGTGGTTTCCACTCCTGCGTGGTGCCCTTTCTCTGAGATGGAATTTCACCAATGTTTGAGGAGGAAAATTAATCTGGATGACCTAAAATTTCATTTTGGAGATAAAAATGTCCACAGTCACATTTTAAGCAGATATCCAGCTTGTTCAATGGTTTCCAGCAGCAAATGGGTTCCATGTGCCAGGGAGACCAGCACGTCAGTACCTGACAGCATCACGTCCACGTCCAGAGCCTCTGCCCCTGCTGTTCTGGGGCACAGACACGCTCGTTCCACAGCCTCACAAACCCCCGGGGGCCTACAGGGCAGGAGGAACTTGTCATAAAGGACCGGCTATAGAGATCAGAATTCAGAACTGAACTGAGTGGGCAAAATACATCTGGTTTCATGCGGTAGGTCCTGGACATTTCTTAGAGGTGACGGGATGACATCCCACACAACCACGCTACGGTTCATAGTGAAATCAAGTACAGTTTTATTTAAGAATTGGAAAGAATATTCAGTATCTGTGAAAGAAAATCCAATTTAAAATATTTAAATAAACATTTCTGCATGTAAAAAGAAGAGTAGAATAATTACTCCATTAAATTACTCTCCTAGCTACGGGACGGCTTCCTGTAGAGCAAGCGCTTGGGACCACCGCCCCGACGGCTGGCGCTCCAGGCCCAGGGCAAGGCGGCAAGCTCTCACAGCAGGGCACAGAGCGCAAGCCTCCCCCACCAGCCTCATCAAGCCACTACAGAAGCCAGGTGGCGGTGGGAGATCACAACTATCTAAGGCAGTAAGAAAGTGCAGAGAAGGGACAGTGGTTAACTGTACCTGTGACGGAGGGACTGCTGCCAGAATGAGCCTGAGCTACGGCCGACCCTCCTGAGCCTAAGCTAGTAACACGAGTACGGTTTAGGAGTATTTCTCTATCATGTCAATCATTCAGAGTGTTAAATAAATGCAAGGGATTAATAAAGTTTAGTCTCTAGGCTCAAGAAGCAGTTCCTACAGATGATGGCCAGTGGGGTGCGCCGCCTTTCGCTCTCAGCCGGGCTCACGCCACTCACTTCCTCTCCTGTAAGCTGCTCTTCTCGGCCCCAGCCTGCAAATCCTCAGACGGTTTCATTTCACGCTCCTTCAGAGTAGCTTTGTTCCATGCACTGCCTTTTCTCCATTTAAGAATCTCCACTTTAAAACCCGCAATGGAAAAAGTCAGTCATCTCTTGACAGTTTCTTAATTTGAGGGAACTGGTGATGTGGCCTTTACCCAAAAAGCTTTAGGGAATACCCAAAAAGCCTGTACTTCATTAACCTGATTCTCTGCCGGGTACAACGTCACTGCTAAATTTATAAAGTTAAAAATAATCTGAGAACGTCAGTACTAGATGAAAGTCAATCACCTGCCAAGTCTTCCCCGAAGTAGCTCATCTTTTCTCCCCAAGTAACTGCTGACTTCTCCCTGGGTGTACAGGTCGGGGGCGGGGGGGGGTTTCCCTACTCCCACCCACGGGACTGCTCTTTAAAGCCAGGCGGTGCGACAGCAGCATCTCACCGCAGAAACACCAGGCCTGCCTCCTGAGCTCAAGGGCCTGGCGGCAAGGTGGGCTTCGCGAACTCCAGCAGGCGGACAAAGCTGAGATCACTTTCTGTCCACAGAGCTCGGGGCCGTCAGGAGCTGTTCTCCATCTATTAAACACAACTTCACGGCGCCCCCCACCCCGCACCCGGGGGGAGCGAAAGCTGGTCCGATCCTGTCAGATGCGGCGCAGAGCTTTCCCTCAAGAAGGTGGGGCGCCTCCCGATGCCCCAGACACGCCCTCCTGCAGTCTGCAGCCCTGAGGAGCGGCGCGGGCTTTGCTAAGTGTGGTCCGGAGAGCCGGCCAGGACAACGCGACTCGAGTTCCCAGGGTAAGAGCGCGTCGGCGCCCACTGGGCAGCGTCCGTGCCGGAGCGACTGGCTGCTGAGAGCTGCGGCAGCGGCCTCGGCCGGTCTGGCTGCAAGGCCCTCTCGAGGGCCGATGGCAGGTCCACTCACACCAGGAGAGAGTCATCCCAGGAATCAACAAACCCGTAAACCTCTTTGGTATATATAATAACGAAAAAATTAATTAGGCCATGGAATCTAGAAGTCAGTACTACTTCTGAGCTGGTAACACGCTCTTCTGAACACAGAGCTCCAGCGTCTGGTACGGCCGACTGGGTCCGCGTCTGTGCCATCTCGCACGGTGCAGATTCCATTTACGCCGTCTCTCCTAAGGATCAGAAACGTCTGACGTTGTTCTTCTAAGTTTTCACAACACCTCTGTGAGGTAGGTGGTATCGACCCCATTCTACAGATGGGGAGTCTAGGCACGGAAAGGTTAAGTGGCTCCTGAAAGCCGCCGGGCATGGCGTGGCCGCTGGGCAGCTCTCGGCTCTTGGTAACGGCCACTGCCAACTGCAGGAAGGATTTCGTGCTGAGACCAAGGCCCTCTCTTGTCCAGAATTAAACCAGGGCCTTAAAGCTGATGCAGTTAAAGCCAACCACTCTCCCCAAACTGGAAAAACAAAAATACTAATTCTCAGTTGGGATCATTTGTTCTATTTAAGACTTTTGTGAGCGGACTTGCTTGAATTGTGTAGTTATATACGCTCGAACAGTCTGTCATGGCATTAGAGTTGGTGGAATTTTGAGAACAGAATATAGAAATCAATAGTTAAGAGACTTCCATGGAAACACAAAAATATGAGCTGTGACGCGGTAAGACTAAAACCGCAAAGAAACGAGGAGAGCACTTCCCAGTGGTTAACAGGCCTTATACAGAGCGGGCGTTCAGTTAGCATTTCTTGGATAAAGGAAAAATGACACATCTTCCAACATGCCTGTCACCGATAACAGCCCCCTCTCGGGAGAAGAGCAGGAGCCAGGACCCCGGGGAAAGCCACAGGGGCCCACAGTCTGCCTGGCTTGGGGCGCCCTTGTTAACACAAAGCCACTCAGCCAAAGCATCTGGAGATGTCCATGCTGGCCTTCTGCCAAATAAAAGTTGGGGCTCGGAACACTAAGCCCCCTTGAAATTTATACCGCTATTTATAAAAATAGATATGCAAATACGATTAAATATATTAAGAGCCAAAGTGCCTTATAAAGAATTATCTTTAAAACTGTATAGATGCTCATGCACGTAAGCACAGAAATGAGAAGGTCAAAGCTGTGCTGTCTGTGTTGTTCGGTTAAGGATTCTGAATGTATTTCTAGCACTAAGCGCTGTTGCCCACGTACCCCTTCCTGCCAAAGAAGCCTCACTCAGTGATGAGCGAGCCCACCGCTCCCAAGGGGTCCTTGTTACACTAAATGCCTCGTGGGGGATGCTGCGCGGCCTGGGCTGTCACCAGGGCCCTTCTAGGGGTTCAATGTCGAATATTGCTGTTATTAGCTCCTTGTCCATCTTCAATCTGTGTCCTACCTTCATTCAGCCCAAGAACAGATTGCTCTAGGGTGTGGGTCCTTTGGTCCTAAGGCCTTCTGACCACTGGTCTTGAGTGATATTCCAGAAGAGTAATTGGTGACATATAAAATGGTTCAGAAAATCCATTCTGCAGAGCGGCTGACGCGGGGCAGCCACGGCCCAGGCCACGTGCAGTGTGAGGCCTCTGGGCCTGGCCCGGCCCGCTCCAGCTGTGTTATAGCTCGACCTTGACCCCTTTTATAAAAGGCAGCCCCGTGGGCACCCGCTTCTTATACTCCAGGTACTCCTCTCCAAAAAAGTGAATTAACGAGATCTCCTCTTCTTCTGTTCGATCTCGGAAGAACCGCCACACTGTCAGAGCGTAGCCAATGCCACAGATGGGATTACACAGCATCACCTGGCGGAGGACACGAAGGTGATCAGGGTCAGTGTCCTGACACCAAGCACTTCAGTAGCACCTGTTTCTCCTGAATATCCACATAGGACTTCCTGACAACAGCCCAAGAGACTCTCAGACTACTACTAGGGTCTTTGAGACCTGAGGCCATTCACTGAAACCTTACCACTCCTTTCACATTAGAGCTAAACAAACACTGAGCACTATAGTTTTTTTCTAGACACTTTTTGGTGGTTCCTTTTTTTTTTTTTTACATTGTTTTTATTTATTTGACAGACAGAGATCACAAGTAGGCAGACAGAGAGAGGAGGAAGCAAGCTCCCTGCGGAGCAGAGAGCCCGATGTGGGGCTCGATCCTGGGACTCTAGGATCACGACCTGAGCCGAAGGCAGAGGCTTTAACCCACTGAGCCACCCAGGCACCCCTTGGTGGTTCCTCTTATATCAGAGAGATCTAAAAATTAAAAGATCACCTTTTCACAGGATGCCTGGGTGGCTCAGTTGATTAAGCATCTGCCTTTGGCTCAGGTCATGATCCCAGGGTCCTGGGACTAATTCCCACATCGGGCTCCCTGCTCAGCGGGGAGTCTGCATCCCCGCCCCCCCCCGGCCTGTGCTCCCCCTGCTGTGCTCACTCCTGTGCTCTCTGACAAATTAATAAATAAAATCTTTAAAAAATAAAACTAATTAAAAAATACAAGGCCGGGCGCCTGGGTGGCTCAGTGGTTTAAAGCCTCTGCTTTTGGCTCAGGTCATGATCCCAGGGTCCTGGGATGGAGCCCCGCATTGGGCTCTCTGCTCAGCAGGGAGCCTGCTTCCTCCTCTCTCTATGCCTGCTTCTCTGCCTACTTGTGGTCTCCGTCTGTCAAATAAATAAAATCTTAAAAAAAAAAAAATACAAGGCCAACTTTTCAGATTTCAGTCCTCAGGGCAGGTGACAGCAGCTCCCGATCCCACCCCAGGTGTGAGTTCCTGTGGAGCTCCCAGCCTGCCCCTTCTCGTTCCATGCTCACGCACACACACACACACCCTCACACATACACACACATACCCCTCACAGCTACCTCGCCCCTCCTCCTCGCCCCCTCGCCCTAACCCTATACCATATACAGTGCTATTGTGAAATCACCAGTCTTCAAACCACTCCCTTGCCCAAACCAAGAAAAGCTGTGCCTTAGTCATTTCCTCCAGCCCCGTTCCCCTGGGCTGTACCCACTTGGACTGCCGTCACCTCCTTACTCATGTGCTTTTCCCACTTTGAGAACATCTTTCCCCACTGAGACACTGCCAAACAACCCCTCCAGGCCAAGAACATCTCCCCGCTCTCAGGAACTTCTGTGCTGTGTGGGAAACCTACCACTCCACCCCTGTCCACTCTGACGGACCCCCATGGACACATGTCCTCCCCAAGGGGGCAACTTCCACCCAGAAAGTCAGGCACATGCCCTTGACTTCTTATTCCCATCACTGCTTACTGGGTACTTAGCTGTGTTTCAAGCCCCAGCAAGCTCTTTCCAACCAAACAGCCCCCACAGCAAGCCCCTGGGGTGGCACTGCTGTGCTCAATGTGTGAGGGCAGGCAGGCTAAGCAGCCGACCCGGAAGCCAGGACTGGCCCTGTAGGCGATCTGCAGCCAGCGCGCTCACAGCCGCCACACCCTGCGGTGGGGTTTCCCAACTGCAGGCCTCAACCTGTTCCTGAGCCCTGAAACCCATTCATTGCATCATAAATAGAACTACAAATAAGACAAGGAACAGGGTATTTTGTACTCAGTAAGTACTATCCTGGGAAAGGCCTGTTCCACTTTTATACACGCATGTGTACTGGGTGACAGTGTGAAAAGATCTATGGTCACAGAGGTGGGCAAACTTCATTCCTAGAGCACTTCCGTATGTAGGCGGATTCAACTACCGTCAGCTTGTTCTCAGGGAATACGACTGCTGATGCAGTGTTAGGTTTCAGAAATGCAAGTATTAAAATAAGTCCTGTGTGCACTGTCCTGCCCCTTCTAACCACTGGGGGTCACCAGAGAGTCCCCAACAGACCATGCATTGCCAATGGAACGCTTGGGGGCCCCAGACTGGATTTTCCCAAAGAGGTGAGGAGTGTCCTAAGCTCTGGTCGCATTCTCTGGCCAAGTCTTTCTAGGACCAAGAGAACATATTTAAGAGGCAACAGGCAGGAAACAAGGCTTGGTCTGCAATCTTAGACAGAACAAACCTCCGTAGCTCACGTTAAGTCTAATCCAGACCTTGGCCTCATCAACAGCAGCTTCTAATGAAAATCAGAATCCACCTGAGCAGCAGAAGGCTCTCTCCCCGCAAAGCCCCGTCTCTGTCCTCACCCAACTGAAGTGCTCCAGATCTAAGTTAAAGAAGCAGGGAATGGGCATAGCACCTAGAATCACCAGGAGCTTACAAGTTTAGGACACCCAGATTTTAGGCATATAGTAAAAAAATGTTAAGGACTACATCAGTTCTTTTGCGTTTTATTTCGTTCTCACTCAAAACACGACAAGGGGCAGATGTACCTATTTAAAGGAGACCAACAATCTAAGAAATCCACTGAAATCCACTGAATTGGACACTCTGAAATGGTGAATTTTATGGTATGTGAGTTATGTCAATTTTAAAAAAGTAAAAGAAATTAAAGGCAACCACTGTCAATTCTGATACTATACCTGGGTTCCAATACTCCAGTAAAACCACCCAACATAGGAAGGGTGCCGGAACCAAGCGTACACTCCACTTGTCACCAGGGTGTGGGTTTCTGATTTCTCATTCTGCACCACGTGGTTGAAATTAGAGCCGGCGGTGAACATCGCCGCTTTCCTCAGACACTCTCCGAAGACCACCATGAGCAGCCCCGTTGCACTGAGCCAGGTGATCTGCTTCAGTTCTGGAGGAGAGACAGGTGAGAAACAGGAAGTGAAGACACCGGACTGTGGTGCTCACCCTGCGGATGCTTAAAATTAACCTATTTTTCCAAGGCTGCAACATGAGGAAACACGCCAGTGGGCAATCCGCATTTGTCATCACATTAAGACTTAACTATAAGCAAAACACATGCCCTAAGTTGTGCTGTTCATCCGTTCAAAGTGCCAACAAGCCAACCAGAGCATCTTGGCGAAGACCTGACGGACCCCCCATCCATGTTCCTCTGCCACATGCCCCACTGCCTCCCCTGGGGACAAGGAGAGCTAAGGGAAGCAGAGAAGGATCTAGTGTCTCCCGCCCTGGCTCTTTACTGAATCCTGGGAACCACATACATTTTACTTAATTTGCTGTGGAAAGTTCAATTTGAGAGCAGGCTTCAGATGTACAGCTTTTTGTTAATAAAATCGTCACAAGAAAAGTCTCAAGTCACAGAAAATGAACAGATGCAAGTGTCTGACTGTACGGTTAGGACTGCAGCTACCACGGGTTGGTACGTTAGGTAGTGTGGCATGTTACGGCAGGCTTCGGGCAAACGGTCAACCCGTCCTCCATTCAAAATCCAGCAGTGGAATTCACGGGCTCTGCTTGTCCTCTATAAAGAGCTTAGTGAGGATTGAGATCTGGGGAAAATCACTCCAGGAGATTATACCTGAGAGGTAAACCCAAGTCACTGTCCTCAGGCCTGCACAAAACCACCCTTCTCCCCTCTGGAAGAGAAAGTAGGACACACTGACCTGGCCAAAAGATATTTTCTAGTGTGAACTCTATCCAAGAAGAAAGAGCAGCTACTGTGTACTCCAGACTGTGGTTCAGGAGAAAGGAATCCAAGGACAGACTTTTGGGGTTATTGACTGCTGTGACTAAGTACTCCGAAAAATGGAATAGTGACAAGGAGCACATGTACCTGTTTAAAAACAAAAAGACAGAGAGGTTGGGCAAGGGAAGCTGGGGCAAGGGAATCAAGTCAGCCATAACTCAAAGTACGAATCTGGGTCTGCAGAACTGTCCCTGAATTCTAAGAGAAGACCCCGTTGCTACCTCTGTGAGAGTGGACAGCGGGCACCCACCTGTAACACGACTGCTCAGGTTTGCAGAAGGTGGGGTTTTAAAAGGACTACATGTGGGATGTAATAGACCAAACGAACATAGGTAGGGAAGGCATTATGGGCCCACAGCCTGGTAAAAATGATACTACACCCTGTAAAATATGAAAGAGGGGCATAACAAACACCAAAGCAGTGATGTATGTTGAATACAAAAGTTCAACAAAACAAGTAATTCCAGCGAAGAGGGATTAGATGGCTCAGAGTACTGACAACAGGAGATAAAGCTTTTTACCTTGAAGCCACCAGTTCATATCCAGGTCAGGGACTAGAAGGCTGAAGGGCCTGAAATCATAGTGGAGGGGACAATCCTACACTGGCCGTGGGGGAGGCACTAGAGGTGACCTAACAGAAATTAGAGCCGGAAAAGGCCTGTGAAGACGAGCCTGAGCCTTGCCCCGTCCTGTCACGGAGGACCTGGACCCTCTTCTGGGAAGGGCTCTTGATATTACTGATGAGGGCAGCAGCCGGGAGGGTGCCCGGGAGACCCGTTTCTGCCTGCAGCAGACGCAACCAGTGGGCACAAGCTCTTGGGGTTCAAGACCTAGGAGTCTAGGTGGGAGTTAGAGACCTTCCGCCACTCAGAGATGAGACAAAGGGACGAGGACACACCACGTCCGACCCTCTGATCCTCCCACCCTCGCCTCAAAACCATTATTCCCCCAAGTATTCTTACCAGCCAAAGTGATTCCAAGAAGACTGGCTGAAACTTAGCAACACGCCGCAGCCGAACACAAAGCCAAGGAAACAAGCTCGGATGGCTATCTGAAACGGACCCAAACCAGCTCAGTCACCGGGCTGCTCCGGGAGCACGCGCCGGCACTCAGGAGCACACATCCCACTTCTTGGGACAAGCAGGCTGCCGGCAACCCAGTACCGCTGCCGTGCTCGGCGATAACAGGGTGAAGCAGGGAGGTCTGGGCTCAGATGCCGCCGCCGCCGCCCCTCTCTGGCGGTGTGGCCTTGGGCAAGTTCCTCAGCCTTTCTGGCCCTCGGGCTTCCTCACACACACGATGAGGGTAACCACAGACCCAGCCCTGGGGGCTGCTGTGAGGAGCACGCACGTAACGCACCGAGAGCAGGTGCCCCCTGGATCCAGCTGCCATCGCTAGGATTGCTGCTTTCGCTATCCTGAGCCGTGGGAAAACCGCAGGAACCTCGTTTACCGGCAGGATTTTCCCAAGACCACGCAGCGAAGCTGGTCCGGGCAAGCGCGACTCCGAGTCAGTGCGGGCGCCCCTGAGCTGACACTTGGCAGCAGGTAAGTCTCCACACCTTAAATTACGTAAAAGAACTCGCGGGCCCGCTCCCTCCCCACCCCACGCGCCTCTGCCGCAGCTGCCGAGCAGCACCAACTGCGATTTCCCACCCACTCCGCCGGAGACGCGGAGGCCCGCGCCCCTTGAGCCCCGAGCCTGGCGAGGCTGCGTCCCTCCCGCCGCCTCAACTCGCGGATGAAGAACACGCCCAGGGGAAGCGGCCCCGTCCCCCGCAGGCCCAGCTCCCGACCCCGACCGGACCGAGCCGCGCGCCGTGCCCAACCCACCGGGCTCCCGCCCTCACCCCGGCCCCGGCCCGGCCCCGGCCCGCCTCCGCCCGGCCCGCACCTGGTACCGCGGCGGCCGGTAGAGCAGCAGCAGCAGCGCGTTGAGCCCGGCCACGTAGAGCGCCAGCCCGGTGCGGCCCTGCAGGCCGGCGCGCGTCAGCAGCGGCAGCGCGAGCACCGAGGCGCCCAGCAGGAAAGTGGCGAGGCTGAGGCGCGCCTCGGAGCCCGGCGGAGCCCGCGCCGCGCAGCCCGCCATGGCGCCGGGCGGCCGACGAGCTGGCGACGGCGCCGGCTGTAGCCCGGGGAAACCCGCCCGCCGCGCCTGCGCACTACGCCGCCGCCGCCGACCGGGAAGTGCGGCTGCCGGGAGCCGCCGCGCCTCCCGCGAGCTCTCGCGATACCACCGCTCCATGGGGAGTGTCCCCCAGCTTTGGCGGGAGCGCCCCGCCCACGGCCCCGCCCCGTCTGTGGCCCCGCCCTGCCAGTTCCCCGAGCCCTCTCCCTCCCCCCGGGAACTCCTGACCCAGGACGAGGGGCGAACGGCGGGCGGGGCAGCGGGGCACCCGGGTCCCGGGCCGAGAAGTGGCCGCCTGCGTCTGCCAGAAAGGAACCCCAAACTCAAGAATGCCCCCGTCCGAAGAAGTCGAAGCGACCCGGCCCTCGGCCAGCCCCGCACCGTCCCCCCGCGAAACTGACACCCTCGGGCGCGCAGGCGCGAGCTAGTCCGCGAGCTGGGAGCCCGGGCTGCTTCCGCGCTGGGACCCTGCCCCGGAGGCAGCCGGAAACCCACACCCGGACTCTGCGCGCGGGGTGACCGCCCACTTCAGTTCGCGGTGAGGGAGAATGTTGGCAGTCGTGGAAGAGCTCAGCAGACACCCGCTTTTAAAAGGCAGAGTACGGAACTTTACAGGGCGACCCTGGCTTCGCTTAGGGGAGCAAAAGCAGACGTGTGAGCCTGGAGAAACCGTGGGAGTAGAAGCCACAGTTTTTTAACGGCGGTCATCTTCGGGTGACAGAACAGTGGGTGACTTCCACTGTCTTCTGTGTATACTTTTGTATTTTCCATATTGTGCACAATCAACATACATTACTTTTTAAATCGGAATTTTTTTAAAAAAGTGTTCATGGCCTCCCCCAGGGGAGCTCACAGAGGGGTGATGAAGGGGAAAGACAAGTAGAGGAGTGACTGGAATAAACTTTGGAGGGGTGGGAGTGGGATAGGAGCCAGGGAAGAATGGAGAGGAGGGAGAGGGACACCCAGGAGGGGCCTGCAGGTGGGCAGGCAGAGGGTTAGGGGGCCGCATGGGAGGGATGCTGGAGTTAGGTCTTGGGGCACTCAGGGACTGGCAGCTTTACGCTGGAAATGAGAGCAAGGACATTGATGGAGAGGGAGGGGGGGCGGGCACCAAGTTTGCAGACTCAGGCAGGAGAAAGGAAGCCTGAGTTGGGATAGGGGACAGGCCCCCGGAGAGGCTGGAGCCCAGAGTAGTGGGTCAGAGAGTGCTGAGACCAGGCAAGGTGTGCACTGCAGTCACCCAGACCTGCATTTGAGCTGCTAGCTGCCCCATCCTCTTCTGTCCCCACAGGACCTGGCAGGAGGCCTGGTGTCTAAGCAGCTGAGCTCAGGGAAGGATGGAGAGCCTGGGATTGAATCCTCGTCTCAGCACTGCCAGGGCCCAGCTTTGTAACCTTGGACAAATCATGTCCAAATCTCAGCTTCCTATAATACAGGAATCCTCATTTCACTATCAGGTATTGATAACATTCTGCAAAGCCCAGTACCATGTTTAAATGATGCTGAGGGGCACCTGGGTGGCTCAGATGGCTGAGCGTCTGCCTTCAGCTCAGGCCATGATCTCCAGGTCCTGGGATCAAGCCAAGACCCATGTCAGGCTCCCAGCTCAGTGGGGAGTCTGCTTCTCCCTCTCCCTCTTCCTCTCCCCCTGCTTGTGTTCTCTCTCTCTAATGAATAAGTAAAATCTTAAAAAATAAAATAAATGATGCTCAGAAAACATATGCTAAGCTGGGTTCATGGGAATTGAAAAGAGACTTAATGTTTTTAAAATCCAAAGTTGCCTAGTTGTAGTACCACGTAGGAAGGAGGCATGGTGTTGCTGGAGGCTGAGAACTCACGCTCCCAGCACTGCCCCCAATTTCTGATGCTCTCACCCAAACTCAGTACCTCTCCCCCAATTCTGGGACGCCTCAGGGACCCCAGAGAATAATTGCATCTTCACTCCTGGGAGTGAGTCTCGTCCTGGGGCAGAGAACTGCTCCCAGGAAGCCCCCTTTTCTGGCTGTTGCCATCTGCTGTCCACACTGACTTAGGGCCCTGATGCACCCCAGGGACCATCCCCATTCTGGGGGCACAGGGTGACTGGAAATCCAGTTTGGTGAGCCTGAGCAACACTCTCTTCTCTATCCACGACCTCCGTGTAGACCATACCTCTCGATCAGCTCCATCTTGGAGAAGGAAGAAAGAGGGGAAACAGTCCCCTGCCAGGGATGGCCGGACCAGAGGGAAGGGGGATTTTTAGAAGTACCTGGAGTTGCTGAATCTGTCAGGGCCCACGGCTCATAGAGCAGTAACATAGGAAAGAGGCAAGTAAGCAAATATGTGCACACAGTGGCATAGACCCAGAGAAACCGAGTCACACACAGATCGACGGATACCCAGAGAAACAGTAATTCACAGGGCAATATGGACAGAAATACATACACTGAGACCCACTTTCCTACCAGAGAGGGAAGCAATCTGGTCAAAAAAATCCACTCTAGGGGCGCCTGGGTGGCTCAGTGGGTTAAGCCGCTGCCTTCGGCTCCGGTCGTGATCTCAGGGTCCTGGGATCAAGTCCCGCATCGGGCTCTCTGCTCAGCAGGGAGCCTGCTTCCCTCTCTCTCTCTCTCTCTCTCTCTCTCTCTCTCTCTCTCTGCCTGCCTCTCCGTCTACTTGTGATCTCTCTCTGTCAAATAAATAAATAAAATCTTTAAAAAAAAAAAATCCACTCTGGGTCCATTTCTCCAGCGTCCTCCCCAGGCACAAGAACAACAAGCCCATAAAAATAGAAGAACATAAAGGTAAAATACTCAGCCCTGGGATGCCTCACTTGCTTTCTTTTGTAAATAAGCATTTGAATGTGTTTTGTTCTTGGAGCCCAGAGGCATGCACAAAGGGAGCCCTTTCTCATGCAGGAAGGTCCCTCCACAGGGTCTCCCCTGTGCCCCCCTCGTCCTGCCTTTCGCCCACCAGCCGCCGTGGCTTTCCACCCTGAGCCCAAGAGGGGATTCCTCCCGTTTCGAGAGTCCTAAGAACCGCCTCGAGTCTCCCAAGTTAAACTGCAGGCTGAGATGAAATTACCCTCTTTTTCTTAAACGGGGTTCCTTGACGGAGCAAGGGAGAATGTATGGAGAGGGGATCCCCCAGAGCAAGCTGGAGGCGTCTCCAAGCCCCTCAACCCACACCAGCTTCCCAGGGTGAGAAGTTTGTTCTTGTCCAAACTCGACACCACATAAAAAGTCTGAGAACGGGCCTCTCCCTCTTCCCTGCTGGTGGGTCCCTGGTCAGTTGTTGTTAGAGGGGGCCTCCTGGGGGCTCCTTGTCACTCACAGTTCCTCTGTCCCATCCACTTCCCACGTGGAGGCCTGGGGGGGCCTGTTCAGTGTAGCTGCTGCTCTCCCCAGGAGGGAACCCTGATCCTCCAAAGCTTTTTTTCTCCCTCCTCTGGCTATTCTGGGCTCCAGGCATGAAAGTCCCCTCTCTCTAGTCTGGAAACGGGGAAATGATGCGTAATTTATGAGCCCATCAGCCCGAAGTGCATAAGTCATATGTGCACAAAAGGGCCGGGTAAATATTTAAAGATTAGAGCCAGCTGGGGAGAGACACAAAGGGCTAGGACAATAGGGGTGTCTCTGAATTCACTCTCTCTGAGCTGGGCCAGCCCGGTTCAGTGTCGAGGCACTCAACGCAGTCCCAGCCTTTGTCCCTTGGAGGGCCCTTGGCGGCCGGGCTATTCCGAGTTGCAACACAGCTAAAGAGAGTTAAACAATCGCAGCCTCTCCAACCCCATCTGGAGACAATGGGCTGAGCCATTTCAGAGTTTTGCTGTGTCCCGATAGTTAATTACATGAAGCAATCACTTCATTCCACTTTGAAATGCATCTGCAGAGACCCACAGTGCCTTTCTCTCCCCCCTCACCCTCGGTGGCCTCTGTGGCACTCACCAGTTAGTATTGCTTTCAATGTCTGGGTGCTGGAGGAAGGGAAGGGGCTCTCACCCAGGGTGAAGAGGCTACGCAGGGCCATCACCCGGGAGGGCTGGTGGAATATCCAGTCTGGTTCTTGTCCTGGGACCTGCAACTCCACTCCCTTCCTTTCCAGACCTCGGTTGCTCTGTAATGTTCTTTCTTTTGCCAAAGTTGAGAAAACCCAACGTGGGAAGGGAGGTCACTTTTTGCCTTAAATTCTCAAGTCGGAGGAAGCTGAGGGCTCTGAGTATTCTTGGAAGCCCCCAGAGGCCTCCAGAACTATAGAAGGAATTTTTTCCTTGAATGAGCAAAGGACAGCCTGGATCTCCCCAGCGCTTTGCCAGAACTTGTGCTCCTTTGCAGAGGCCCCCTAGGGATTCCAGATGCTAAAGATGGAAAGGGAGTCGGTGGCCTACATCCCAGTTTGCATAAGCTGGGGTTCTAAGTTGGTCTATGTCCTTCCCTGCAGCCCGAGAGTACTTTGCCCAGCTTGCTCTCAGATAAGGGAGTGGGGGGTGCCGCACCCCGCATCTCAGAAATCGCCTCTCCTACCTCTACGCTCCCCTCCGGAGCTCCGCCTCCCTATGAGTGCGGGTGGGAGGCTCAGGCTCAGGACCTGGAAACAGAGTGGGGGAGGGAGGAGAGGAATTGGGTCTTAGTGGGGAGGCGGCTACCCAGGAGCCCGAATTGCGGGTAAAGTGGGGGATTTCCCGGGCACGGGAAAAAGCCCGCGGCGAGGGGGAGAGGGGGGATGGAATCCGCACCGGGATCTCTCTCTGCCCTGAGTCTGCGGGACCCTCAGTCGGTTTAAGGGCTGTTCGTGGCGGCCGAGCCACGCTGGGAGTGGGAAACCGGGAAAGCAGGGAGGCCATCAGCCTAGGTGTGTGTGTGGCTGGGGGATGGGGGCGGGCGGGACGCAGCGGGGGTGGTACCTGGGTAGGGGTAGGGCGCAGCGGAGCCGGAGGCCCATTAAGTGGGCGGGGGGCGGAATTTGACGGCTGCGAGTCCAGCCTTGGCCTCCCCGCCCGCCTCGCCGCCCGCAGCCAAAGCAGAACATTGCGAATTAGCTCATTTTGCGGTCAATTTTCCACTGCTTAGGAAAACACTAAGCCACCCACGTGAGCGGCCCCACCCAGCGCGGCCGGGAGCCCTCGGCTCGGGCTCGAGAGGAGCGATGGCCCGAGGGGCTGCGGATGCCGGGATGCGGGCAGGGGCGGCCCGCGGGCCCCTTTATGGAGGCCCTAACTCTGGAGAGGGGGCTTACCGCGAGGGCTGTGCGGAGGGCCATTGGTTTGCTAATACGCGGCGCTGAAAGGCGCGGGCGGCGGTTTATGGGGAGGGATCATAATTAGAGGACAAATTGCCCCGCAGCCCGCGCGGCTCAGGAGCGGGGGCGGGGGTGAGGGAGACCCGCAGAGCGAGGCGCGCGCCCAGCTTCCGTGCAGATGTGCAGCAGCTGGAAGCCTGCGCGCGGCGGGGCGCCAGGAGTTTGGCCCCGAGGGGGCGGGCGCGGGCGGGCTTTGTGGGGCCGGCACAATGCCCTTAACACTCGGCTGCCCCCTTTGTGCCCAGCCGCGCCGCCCGCCTGCCCCGCGGCGCCTTTGTACCGAGCCGCCACCGCCCCAAGCCGGAGGAACGCACCGAGGCCAGTGGGGCCCGGCCAGCCCCGGCGCTTCAAAGCTGCCCGGCGCGTGCCAACGCCGGCCGTCCGGCCTCGGCCCCGCCGCCCAACCCCGGCCCGGCCTGGCCCGGCCCTGATCCGGCCTGCGGGTCTGACGGCCGGGGCCGAAGAGCACCTCGGGGCTGCGGGCCACGCAACCTATGCCTGAAAGGAGGGCGGGGCGCGATTCTCCACGCTGCTCGGGCTTGAGAACGCCTCTGCCCGGGCAGGGCCCTTCAATACGGCCGGAGGGGGCCGGGGGGCGGGTGTCGGGGGAGAAGACGCCAGGGCTCCACAGAGCCGGGCGGCGGGGGTGAGGGGGCCCACCCAGGCCCCAGCAATATCCCCTCCCCCTCACGCTGAGTCCCTGCAAAGGCCAATTTGTTTATTCCCCTGCCGCAGGGCTCGACTGCAGAACTTCGGCGTCCACGCTGCTTCATCACCCTCCGGAGCAGCCATGGGGGCCCGCATTGTTCGCAACCCCATTTTACAAACCCTGAACCTGAGGCCCTGCGAGCCCAGTACAGGGACACAACTCGGTATGAACCCTGGGAGTCCTCTGGACGTCAGCCCCTCAGTCACAGCTACTGGAGTCCTGCTCCCAGGGTCCACCCGGGACGCACCAGTCCTGCTGTACGCCCTAAGGGGTCCTGCGGTGGGTGCTTCCTCCACGGAGCTCCCTGGGTCTCCAACCACAGCCCGAATAATGGAAAGTGTTTGGGGGTCCCAGACCTGCAAGAGCACAGAATGGGGCTCTCCCCACATGATCAGTGTCTTTCCTACTCTCATCTTACATTAGTTGAAACCAAGAGAAGGCTGGTGAGAATAAACTCGCAGGCTGTGAGGGAAGTGTCAGAGCCCTACTTGTCCAGCCTGGAAATCAGGGACTGAGGATGGGGGTGCTGTTCTACTCGCCCAGGCTTGAGGCTGCCTGCAGCGTCCCCCCAGTTAGGAGAGGTGGATGGGGGCCTAACAGGGCCAGAGGGTACATGTGCCCAGGTTACACCTTAGCACAGGAAAGCTCCCAGTCCAAGACCACAGCCAAGAGAAGACTGGCTATAGCCCCGAGGGTGGGCTGCACGCTTTAATGGGACACATGTCTCTGCTTGGCCCCCTCGGGCCCAGCCTGTCCCCGGCTTTGAGCAGCCACAGGCAGAAAATCGCTGCATTGTCCCGACATTAGGGCGACTAATGTGGCGTTGCCAGTTCGGCCAGAGCGTGAAACCCGCAGAAAGGCATCGCTGGCGGGTCTTCCTTGCCTCCGCATCTTCATCAGACCCAGAGAGGCCCGGCACCTTGTCAGAGTCATGAGCCAGGCTCAGAGCCATGGGCCCATGGACGTTCCTCAGTGGGTGCCCCCCAGAATGCTTGGAGACAGGGGGCAGCAAGGGGCCTAGTAGTGAGGCTCAATACCTAGGGGCACTAGACACAGGGACAGGACAGGGCATGGAGGGGTATGCATGGGAGGGGACCTCAGACTCAGGGAGTGGTGGGGGTGAAAGGGATAAAGGAAAACCTGAGAAAGGGGAAGAGGGGTCCCTTGGAAAAAAAGAGGGTTCCTGGAGGTGAGGCTGAAGCCGGGGAGAAGAGAGGGAGGTGGGGAATTTCACAGTGCATCCCCCTCTCATCTCCTCCCCCTCGGGGTTCCTCGAGCCCAGGAGCGCCTCATTGACATGTAAACGAGAAGCCCTATAAAGGCGACACTGCCTCCCACAGCCACAGATAACGACACCATGGGCACTAAGCCCGGGACCCAAGCCAGCTCCAGTGGTCACTCCAGCAGCTTCCGCAAGGTCTGGGGTCCTGAGGGGCACAGAGTGGGGGCCAGGCCAAGCCGGGGGTGGCGTGGGGCAGAGGGTGAGAGGACCGTCGCCCTGCTCTAAAATACCACCCCTTCACAGATCTCCAAGCCTCTGATGGAGAAGAGGCGACGGGCACGCATCAACATGTCCCTGGAGCAGCTGAAGTCGTTGCTGGAAAAACACTACTCACACCAGGTGAGACGTGGGGCGGTGGACGGGTGAGGTGATACAATCCGCAGCCTCATCCCTTCTAAGTGGGACTGCCCAGCTAAGAGCCCTTTCCACGGATCTGCAGATCCGGAAACGGAAGCTGGAGAAGGCAGACATACTGGAGCTGAGCGTCAAGTACATGAAAAGCCTTCAGAACTCGGTGCAAGGTGGGAGGGCGTCTGGAGCTGGTGGGGTAAAGAGCTGCGGGGAGGGGCGGTGACTTCTGGGGTCAGAGCCATGGATATGACAAGGCCAGATAAAGGAAAAAGGATGGAGAAGAAAGCTCGGGGCAGTGGGCAGCTGGGTGAGGAGAAGGCCCCAGATTGCTGGAGGCAGGAGGCCGCAAAGACCCTGCTGGCTAGTGTAGTTGTAATCCGGGTAGGCGAAGATCTGGACCCTGGGAAGGAAATTCGGTTTGCGTAGCCCCTCCCCTCCCTGCCACTCTTCTGCCCTCCTTTTCCGTCTCCCCACCTCTCCTTTCCTCCTCCCCTCTCCTATTCTTCCCTGCCCTTCACATTTTTCCCGTCCGCTCCCCTCCCCCCAGGGCTCTGGCCGGTCCCCCTCGGAACTGAGTTCCCGTCGGGCTTCCGCAGCTGTCTGCCTGGCGTTGGCCAGCTTCTGCGGCGCGGAGAAGAGGGCGGCGGTGGCCTGCGCTGCCCCCTGGCGCACGAGCGCGCAGGTGACAGCACCATGGACAGCGCCGGCCCGAGCCGGGAGGCACCCGAGCCGCTCGGCCCCTGCGCCCCCGCCATTTGGGCCCCTGCTCCGGCCACCGGCGGCTCGCGGTCCCCTCCACCCCGGCTCCTCTTCCCTGGAGGTCTTCCCGGCCCGTCCTCCAGCGTCCCGGGGCCGCAGCCGGCACCTCGCCGCTGCACCGAGAGCCCGGGACCGCGTCTGGGCGTTTGGCGGCCCTGGTGAGTCCCGGCGCCGCCTCGGACTCAAGGGGGCCCCCGTCCGGCCTGGAGACGCAGAGACTGTTCAGAGCGCGCCTGCGGTGATGGCCGGGACCCCCAGTCATCCGTCCCGGTCCCGTGGCAGGGGTGACTGGGAGGCTGCCGCGCGCCTCGCGGCCGCCGGGGGACCACAATCCAGCCCTTCCAGCCCCACCTACTCAAGCCAGACCCGCTCCCTCTTCCCACCTTCTCGTGGGGCTGGGAGGGGATGTCCCAAGCTGCGCCTCTTTCCCAGGGCCCCCGGCGGGCAGCCCGCCCCCGCCCGGCGGCCACGCCGCGGTGGGAAGGTCGCCGTCCGCAGCGGCGCAGAGCGGACCCCTCGCAGCGAGGAGAATCGCTGCCCCGCCCCGGCCCATTCAGCCGGCGGCGGACGCCCGGTTCCCACCGGCACAAAGCTCGCCGGGTCCCGCCCCGCCGGCGAGGGGCCCCCAGCCCACCCCCACCTTGGACCCTCTCGGCTTCCACGGATCCCCACCCCCTCGGCTCGCGGCGCAGCCCACCCGGCAGGCGAGCTCTCCGAGGCCTTCCCCGCTCCGAGGCCCCTCCCGGAGCCCTCCTGGCCTGGCAGCCCCAAGATGCTCCGCCCACCGCTCGGTGCGCCCCACGCCCCGCCGCGCGCGGATCCTCAGGGTCCCGGCCTCCCGACCTCTGGGGCTGCTGCAGAGCCCGCGACCCTCGACCACCGCGGAGCGCTCGGCGCCCGGCTGTTCGTCCGAAAGCGAGGTCGTTGCTGTGCTCGGACTCTAGCCCGGGGTCCCGGTTCTCCAGCGGCGCCCGGGATCGGGGACGGGAAACCGCGCGGAGCCCGGGAAGAGCTCCTGGCACTTCCCGCTCGAGATTCAGAATACAGACAGGGCAGACCTGTGAAATGGGTATAAAGAGACCACGAAGGTCCACATTTCTCTCACGATGCCTGCTTGGGTGCATCTTTTGAACAACCAATAATCGACTTTCCGTAAAACAGTTCCCATTTAGGAGTGCCCCCGCTCTGCGGCGTGCCAAACCCGTTCTGATTAGAGTCAGGGGAGAGCGGCCGGCTCCCCCACTCCACCCACCAGGCTCTTTAGATCACAGGCGGGGAGGGGGTCTCCGCTGTGGGGTCGGGGGGTCAGGCCTCTTGCGTCTCCGCCTTCTAGTGCGTTGGAGGCGACTCGGCGACCGGGACGGCCGCTCTAATTCCGCCACCAGCCACTAGGTGACGATCTTACACCGCGGACCCAGGGGGCGACTCCAAATTCTCACCGGAGCCCGCGAGCAGCGGAAAGGTACCCCCCCCCCCCGCCGCCCCTAGCCCTCCTGAGCCAACCTTATGGGGGCTAGACGCCTCTGAGGCCGTCCCTGAGGCTGAGGCTGCCAGCTGCCCTTCTAGCGCTTCTCCTACTAGGGCCTTGGTGCCTACCCCACAGCTCCATCCCGTAGCTGCTCCAGGCCCGTTCTCACTCGCTGGGGGGGGGGGGGGGGGGCAGGGGGAAGCCTGCAGTAGTTGCATAGAAAAGGGGCACCGACCCAAAGGATGGCACACTAGGAGGGATTCCAAACCCAAAGGAGAGACGTTTGGGGCAGCTGGCTGAGCAGTGCTGCTGTATTCTAGAAAGGTGTTTCCATGAAAGCAGCCTAGGAATGCCAGGTGCAAATTATAGGAAGTTTTTATTGTATCCTGTACAGAAGAGAAATGCTCAGTTGTCAAAAAACTACAAACGGATCCCTGGCTCTGGGTGGGTGGTGGTGTGAAGACAGGGCTCCTGCTCCTGTGAGCCCAGGGTCACGCTGCTGATGAACACAGCCAATAGGCCTGGGAGGCTCAGGGAGTGTGAGAGGGAGCTCCAGGCTCCAGGTTCCTCCGTTTGGGGTCCTCCCTCCTTTTTATTTCTGTAAAACCCAGAACTGGAGGGACTTTGGGGTACCAAGTCTCCCTGCAAGTATTGCCATCGGATATGAAGTACACAGATTAAAAACCCAACGTGACAAATGGGTGGGCCTGAGCAGGGGTGGGCGCCACAGTGGCCAGCTGAGATCTCTGCCCCCACATGGCCCGTTGGTCTTTGAAGGCACGGCAGCACTGGCCAGAGGCGGCCCCTCCTGTGGCTTAGGCCATACCGCAGTTTCCTGCCTTGCTCACCTGTGATTAGCTCATCCCTCCCCTAACCACCCCCCACCCCCCGGTGAGGGGCCAGAGAGGCCTCAGAAGCAGAGATGGAGCCCGGTCCCCTAGGCTTGACCCTCCCAGGGGCCTCTTCTGGGGCTGAGACCGTGTCAGCTGGATGACGAAAGAGGCCTGGCAACGGGCAGGAGAGGTGGGGAGGATTGGGGAGGGGCTGCGCAAGGCAGAAAAGCTCCACGTTGGCTCTGGGATTTGCTCTGGGTTTCCCTGTGTGCTGTGTGAGGCCATTGTGTGGAGGCGAGTCTAGGAGGAGACCGCCTTTGCATTTGCCCGTCCTTTCAGCTCAAGGTCACAGCTGTTCCCAGACCTCTGCTCAGCCTGATTCTAAGGTCTCACTCCAGGGAAGACCCAGCAAGCCCCTCCCCAATGCCCATGGCAAAGCCTAGGCCAGCAAAAAGTCTGTCCAGGAGAGAGAGCAAAGAGCCCTGCCCTCAGCAGGGACCAGACCTTAAACCTGGAACCTGGGAGGCCTCTCAGCCAGGACCCCCCCCCAGGGGCATCAGGATAAGGAAGCCCATTCTCCCTTTGCTTCAGTTCTTTCCCAGCATGGACCCACGATCTTTATGGTGGGAGTCCTACAGGTGGCTGGCTTGGTGGAGAGACGGATGAGGGCAGGGACACTAACAATGGTCAAGGTGGGTGACAGTGCAAAGTGTTGTGCTTTAGCTGGGGTGTGGGTGGGGTGAGTTCCTGGGGAGGCCAGGGGCACTGAGAGTGGGAGGCCTCAGGTGCAAAGGCCACAGCAGGCCACACACTGAAGACTGACCCCCACAAAGGACCCACAGAGGGCCCTAGATGCTCTCACACCCATGCAGGGGCGGGTGCACACGGACCAGAAGACTGCTCCAAACAGTCCTGTGAGTTAATATGGTAACCTGCTCATTACAGATGGGAAACCGAGGCAGAACTGCTCAGCAGGTACACCTGCTCAGAGAGCTTGTTTGGGCTCTGTAGACCCCTGTGCTTAGAGACCCTCTGTACCCTGGCCCCCCGCGGGGGAGAGACAGTTACAGTGCAAAGTGGAAAGCCAGGTGCAGTCAGTCCCTTGGCTCCTGCAGGGCTGGACTTTGTTCTGTCTGGTGGTGGCCTTCCTCCCGGGCTCCTTGCTGCCACCCCCATCCCTCCAATGCCACTGCCCCGGGCTGGGCAGGCACATCAGGGCGTGCAGAGCCTGCCTTTACCCAAGCCCGGCCTCCCTCTGCCCCGTGATGCCGTACCCAACAGCGGTCCAGGGCAGTCACCGACCCTTGGAGCGATGCCCGTGGCTCAGTCACGCAGGGAGGGCTGGCACTTAGCCAGGCGCCGTCGGTGGGCCCCGCGTGGCGCCGCCCGGAGCCCGGCCTGGGTCAGCGTGGCATCTTTGGTGCTTTGGTCCCTGCGGGCAGCCCGGCCCGCCGGGCGCGCGTGGGGAAGCGCCCGCAGGCTCTAGGACGCGGAGCCCAGCGAGTCCGAGTGCAGCGTGACGTAGCCCGAGGACTCGGAGGGCGAGCTCAGGAAGCTGCTGGTGGCTGCCGCCGCCGCCACCCGCCGCGCGCAGGCCCCCGGGCTCGCCCCACGACGCGCTCAGGCCGGTCCTCAGGGGTCCCGCGTGCGCGTGCGCGTGCGCGTGCGCGTGCACGGCCGGGCGCGGCCCGGGGCTCCGCTGCGCGCCTCCGCCGGCAGGGGGCACCGCGTCCTCGCCCGGCCGCGCGCTGGGGACGCGGGGCCCCGGCGGCTGGCGGGCGGCGCAGGGCCTGCGGCTCGCTCTCGAAGGCGGTCAGCGCGAAGGCGTCGGGCAGCAGCGAGGCCGAGGCGGAGCGGGCGCCGGGCCCGGGGCGGAGGCGCGGGCTGCCGGGGGGCGAGTCGCGAGCGCGGCGCGGGCCGCCGTCGGGGGCCGGGGGGCGCAGCGCCAGCAGGCTCTCGGCGGAGCGGCGGCGCGGGCGGAACGGGGGCGCATCCTCTGCGAAGGCCAGCAGGCTGCCGCGGCGGCGCTCGGGCCCGGCGGGCAGCACCAGGGCCGCCAGGTCCTCGCCCGTGCCCCAGCGCGGCAGGAAGGCGCGCAGCGGCACGGCGGCCCACACCTCCGCGTCGTCGTGGGAGAAGCGTCGCGTGGGCGGGACCTGTCAGGACGGGCGGGGTTAACCCGGGCGGCCCTCCTGGAAAATGGGGACCGGCGCGGGGCTCAGCGAGGCAAGGCCTTGGGGAGGGCACGAGCCTCCCCGCTCTCCCCGCTCCCCGCGTGAGCCCGGCCGACCGCAGCCCTGCCCTGTCCCTACCTGCAGGTACTGCATCTTGTTCTCCGGCAAGGGCCGCGCCGGGTAGAACTGGGGTGCGCCCCCCTCCAGGGCCGAGAGCTCATACTTGGCCATCCTGTCCAGGGCCGCAAAGTCGCCGCCATAGCTGTAGTCGAGCGAGTGCTCCAGCACCAGGTCCGGGGGGATGCCGCCCTCCAGGCTGGGATCTGCAGGGCGGGAGCAAAAGCTTAGGGCCGTGGAAACCTCGGGGGCGTCGGACAGTGAGTTCCAGGGACCCTCAGACACACGCATAGGGCAGAGGCCTGGGTTCAAACCATAACTGTGCCACCTTTTAGCTGTGGGACTGCGGAGAGCACCTGAGCCAGGTTCCTCCTCTTCCGCCATGGGGTGTGGTTACCCGGTGAGCTCTGGGGGGACTAAATACAGGTAGGGTCTGACAGTGCCTGGTACCTCGAAGAGGCTCAGCCGAGGGTAACACTCATCACCAGGTGAGACAGCACTGGGGTCTACCGGAGCCCCCGGGAGACCTCTAAGGGTGGAAGTTCTGGGGAACGCGCTCAGTCTGGTGTCCATAGATACTGCCTGGGATAGTCAGGCCGGACAGGAGAATGTCCCACAGGACACTTAGGTCGCTTAGGGGTTCCAGCACATTAGAGAACGCAGCCATCTCGGTGATCCTGCTGCCCTCACCCCTCTCCCAGGGGCCCGCTCCCAGGCCGCCCTCACCATTGTCCGAGTCCTCATCGTTAGCCATGAGGGTCACGCACTTCTCCCAGACGGCCTTGAGGTCGGCGCGGTAGCGGTCACAGGCCCAGAGGAATATGGGCAACAGGAGGGCCTGGGCCACCGAGCACCACAGCACACACAGCGCCATCCAGGGCGCCGAGGCGTCCGCCCGAAGGCTGCTGAAGCTCACCACCTGTGGGCACACGGCTCGGCCTGGCACCTGGCAGGATCCCCGGCCACAGCCACCCACCCCTGCCCCGGCCCCCGCCTCACTTCTCCCACCTGCTGGAGGGAGAGGCAACAGACAGAGCTATAGGGTCCTGGGCAGGAAAAAGCCAGAGTTCGAGTAGAAGGGCCTGTCCACCAGGAGCTGCTGGCTGCTGGCACGAACAGCCAGAGCCCCGTGTGCGCGCGGACAGCCCTTCACGGAGTGCCTTCCCCCATGCCAGCCTCGTGACTGCCCCAGGACAGAGGTGGGGGCAGGGCTTACCAACCCCTTTTGGGGAAGAGGAAACAGGCTTGGAAGACCCGGTCTCAAATTTCCCAGTTCAGGTACTTCTTTTGCCATCCCCATGCCTCTGTGGGCACATGGCCTACCCTGGGGGCGGAGGTGGGGGCCGGGGCGGGGGGGTCTAGGTCTTGGACCTCAGAGGAGACTCAAAGGAGTCTGAGAATCAACCAGGCAGGCTTTGGGTCCCTACCCAGGGACCTCACTCCTCCTGTCCCAGGACAGTTCCTTCCCCCACCCAGAGTGACATTTAATTATTCCAACAGAGCAGAAATGGGTAGAATACACTCATCATACCAGTTCTGCTGTGTGAGCTGTGTGACCCTCTAAAAGGTGCTGAACCTCTCTGGGCTCAGTTTCTTCACCTGTGAAATGGGCCAAGAACACCCCACAGAGTGAGGTGAAGATCCCAGACACTGTGCCAGGCCCGCAGCATGGAGTGGGCTCCAGAAACTACACTCCCTCCATGCCCTGAAGAGAAGCTGGGGAGGCTCTCCTTCCACTGCTGTCCCCTTCTGGCTCTGTGTTTTATACACGCTTCTTCCCTCCATCAGCACAGGCTGGAGACGCGGGGCCCTGCTGCACACAGAACCCAGTACCTGGCAGCGGCGGTGGAGGGGTCAGGCTTACCAGGCCCTCTGAGGGTGGGGCCACCACATCCCGAGTGTGTCCCCTATGAGGCTGCCACCCCACCTGCCACCTTCTGGAGCTTGTGTCCTACAGTAACTCCAAGGACATAGCCCTGCCCAGCTGCTTGGACAGTCTCTGACTAATCCTTGCCCGGAAACCCCTCCATACCCCAGTCCAGACTTTTCAAGGGGTTGGGCTGGAGCCTTGGGTGCAAGGGCCCGGCTGCTGAATCCAGACTTCATTTTTGGGCCAAGTGGCTATGTTCCTCCACCTTCCACACCCTCTGATTCGAATGGGCCTCCCTCTGGTGAGGAAACGTCCCCTACAGTGTGCCAGAAAGATCCTGGGCTCCACATTCCCCTGACATGGGCTTTTAACTTTAGGTGGGTCATGGTACCCCTCTGAACCTCAGTTTCCAAATCTATAGAATGGACAGGGTGATAATGCCTTCCCCTCCTACCTCCAGGGACCAGATGGGAGGATTCAACCACCTGATACCTAGAGTACGCCCAGCCCCAGGGCTGCACCAGAGCCCAGTACCCCCAGAGGCTCACCCACCAGCACCCAAGCGCAACCCCAGCGCTGCCCCAGAGCCCAGTCCCCGCACAGGCTCACCCACCAGCACAGGGAAGCCCATGAGGCAGTCATAGATGATGACAATGGTGGCCACCAGCCCCGTGATCTGCAGCGAGGTTTTGGCCGGCTCAGAGCCGTCGATGGACGAGCGGCGCTTGCCCTGAGCGTCCTCCACCACGATGGTGGGCACGGTGAAGGCGCGGTGGCCGGCCCGCGGCCCCACCTGCACAGCCAGCGTCTGGAAGAGGGCGATGGCGGTGCAGACCACGCCCGTGGCCACGCTGCCGCCCACCAGCAGCAGGAAGCAGACGCCGAAGCCGAGGCCGATCTCGGCCACGATGAAGCGGCAGCCGTGGGTGTAGAAGCGCTCACTGGTGTCGTGCCAGCCGACGGCCGGCAGGGCGGACAGGATGAAGGACACCATCCAGATGCCCATGACCGTGTGTACCGCCTGCTTCTTGGCGTTGCTCAGCCTGGGATGCGGTGGGGGCAGGAGCGAGGGGTCACTCGTAGGGTCCTCCCAGAGCCCTGGGCCCCTAGTACCTCATGATCATGGAACGGCCAGCGAAGTGGGGCCTTGTCTCTTGCCCAGGGGATCCTCCCGCAGGTGGTGGCACATCCCTCCCGCCAAGCATTTCCGTGCTGGACACCGTGGACGCGCCCGCACACGCAGGCGTGCAGCCCAGAGCAGCCCCTCCCGCGCCTCCGGCCTGGCAGCACAGCACAGGGGGGCGTTTCTGCACCCCGTGCCCCAGTGGCCTCTGTGCTCCCTGCCCCCACGGCCCCCCAGGACCACCAGGCGCCGAAGTGCGAGCGCGCCCCGGCTCACCGGTAGTTGACGGGCCAGCGGACCATCCACATGCGGTGGTAGGAGAGGGAGGTGACGGAGAAGCAGGTGGCCAGGGTGAGGGTGTAGAAGGTGGAGACAAAGACCTTGCAGAGGCCCTCATTCCACTCGTAGTCCGGGCGCTGCCGCCGCAGCTGCACCACGGCGTAGGTGGCGATGGGCACCGCCACGTTGAGCATGTGGGTGGCCGCGAGCGTGCACAGCAGAAACTCCAGCGGCTTCCACTTCTTCTGCTTGGCACCCACGCTCAGGATGCCCCAGGCGTTGGCCAGGAGGGAAAGGCCGCCACATGCCAACCAGCCCACCGCACTGCCGGGCAGCCGCCGCTCATCACTCATGGTGCAGACGGGAGCTGGCCGCCAGCTGAGACATCCTCGGGGCCAGGGCTTGGCTCGGAGCAGCGGCGCTCACACGCACGGGCTCCGAGACACCAGGGACCACGAGCATCTGTGGGGGATTGGGGGAGAAGCCAATGAGTGCTCCGAGACGGTCCCTCTGGTTGTGGCATCAAAGCTCCTGGGGCTCCCCTGACCTGCGGGTCCTGGCTTGGACTGGGCTGCTCGGCCCTCCTCTCTATTCCGGGGCTTCTAGCCCATGTCCCTGGCACCCGGGGACATAGCCAGGGGTCCCTAATGAGCGCGAACATCCTCCTTTCCACCCACTCCTGGCCAAGGTATGGAATCTGGGTTTGCTCCCGGGACAGCTGCTGCCTCAGGAAAGCAACCAGGCAGGGACCCGGGGGGTGTTCTTGCCCCGGGGGCCCTAGCCCTGCAGGGAACCAGCACTCTCACCATGAGTGTCTCACATCTCACACAACCCAAACGATGTGTCTGCAGGGCACATCAGGGCCCCTTATCTTAACTTGTCCCACTTCATTTGGCCAAATGAGGACATGCCTTGGGGGTGAGCCCCCTGAACCTCCCTGTGCAGTAGGGGCGACGTGGTGACCACTTCCATGGCCATCTTGGCAACGACAGCCTACTTGGCCCAGGTCAGCCTCCTACTGGCTTTGTGGCTGGCAGCCCCTGGCGCTGCCACAGGCTGGGCTCCCATTAAGTTCCAGCATATTAGCTGTGTGGCTTAAGCAAGGTCCCGGCACCCACATCCTTTGTAACGGGGACCCAGGGGAAGGCTGGGGTGGACAGATGCCACGTCTTTAAAGCCCTGGGCCAAGCCTCGCACACAGTGGGTGCTCTGGGTGGTGGTCACGATTATGCTGTGGGTCCTGGTCTCGCACACAGTGGGTGCTCTGGGGAGGCGATCAGTGCTATGCTGGGGATGCCTGGGACAGCAGAGGGACCAGACCTTGACCCCAAGGAGGAACTGCCAATAGCGTATGGCCATGAGCCCGGGACACAGGATGTTGAGCAGAACACACATGTAGCAGAGGCCCTCCGTCTTGCCATACTGCAGGGCTCTAAGTCCCTCCCACCCCTTCCCTGCCCAGCAGCCCCAAACCCCGCCCCTGTGCAGAACCTGGGTTGGTCCCTCTGATGTGAGGCCCACAATAGGCCTCTGTGGACATAGCCTGCAAGAGGCAGCCTGGGAGCAGCACAACGCTAAGTGAAGGCCTACTGTGTGCCCTGTGACACTTGGCCCTTTTTACTCTGGACCCTGTTTAATCTCACGGGTTCCAATCCTCTTGCATCCAACACCTTATTTTTTTGTTTTTTAAAGATTTTCTTTATTTGACAGAGAGAGAGATCACAAGTAGGCAGAAAGGCAGGCACAGAGAGAGGGGGAAGCAGGCTCCCTGCCAAGCAGAGAGCCTGATGTGGGGCTCGATCCCAGAACCCTGAGATCATGACCTGAACCAAAGGCAGAGGCTTTAACCCACTGAGCCACTCCGGCGCCCCACTGCCTCCAACACATTATGAGCACCCACCGTCCCAGACACAGCCATGCGATCCCCAGGGGCTCTTACCCATCGTGGAATGGACAGGCCACAGCAGGGCCCTGGCCCTCCAGGCAGGGGAAGCAGTACTGCTTGGTCTGGGTGTCAGGCGTCCCTTCTTGTCTCATCTAGAGTTCTTTTGGTGTCTCTGTGGCCTGAACCCCATCCCCAATACTGAAGGACTTCTCAGGGATGAGTCGCATTCACCCCTGTGCCCCTGCTGCGGGCCTGCCCCGACCCCTGATGGAGGGGAGGAGTGCATTCTGGACTACACTGTGCTCCTTAAGGGCCTTCTAAGGGGTTGTGGGAGTTCTGGAGACAGGAAAATTCCTTCCCGAACATCAGGCTTCTGCTTACACAGCACCCTCCTCTTCCCCACCCAAGATCCAGTGTGGGAGGTGGGGTGGCCCCACGGGACCCTACCCCAGCCATTCCAGTGTCCTGCAAACCTCTCGGACCTCAGCATACAGAGGCCACATGGGGTTGGGTAAAGAGCTTGCTAGACTCTCGCCTGCCAGCCAGTTATGGACTCAGCTGGGCCTTGTTCTTCTCCTCTGTGAGCTGGACATGATAGGACCACCGGGAAGGTGCTGCGGGTGGTAGACAAGCTCTGCCATGGGACGGAGCCAAGTACACAGTAAGTGCTCAATGAATGCTTGCCACGTGGAAGTCTGTACTAGAGCCCTGTGAGCTCACTGAGCTCTGCCGTCCCTTAAGGGCCAAGACACTGAGCTTGAGGGTAGACACAGCCACCCCAAGCAGAACCTGGGACAGCCCAGCCTTGGGGCGAGGAAGCCTGGGGGCGGAGCAGGTTGGTTGTGGGGGCCCGTGGTGGGCAGACGCAGACACCAGTGATCTCTACGCTGTCAAACAGGAAGCTTGACTCGGCGTGCACCTGGTGGGCCAGCATCTATTTCCACCCTAGGCCCTGGGCCCACTGGGGCAGGGGGGTGGGGAAGGTGGCACCGGTTGTCACTGGCATAACCTCTGACGGTGCCAGCTCTGCCCCCTGTCTAGCCTGTGTCTCACTGCAGGCAAAGGCTCTAGGTCTGTGGGCAGGAGAACGTGCCTCGCCTGGAGATAGAGCAAGCACTGTGAACAGACACACTTCCCAGTTAGTGTCCCCAGGGATGATGTGTGGTTGATACTGACGTCCCCATTTTAAAGATAGTCCAGCAAAGACAGAGAGAGGTTAAACCATTAGCCCAAGCTATGAAGTGTCTGAACCAGGACCCAAGCCCCACTTGGCTGACATCAAACTCCTAGCCTCTCAAACCCAAGCCCAAACCCTAACCTTAACCCAAACCCAAGCAGGAACAGGCTCTTTTGGTTCCTTGAGCTGAGGTTACCTTTCTCAACTCAGAGACCCCTGCAGGCTGGGCCGTGCTGTTCCACACTGCAGGTGGGAACACTGAGGCTCAGAACCCGCACCCAGACGGGGAGGAAGTGCGAGAAGGGGTTTGGAGCCTGGGACTCCTGAGAGCGGTGGCGCTGGGATGGGGGAAGAATGTCACTGGGGAGCGAATGCCAAGGTCTCCAAATGCACGGTGAGGGGGGCTGACGTGCAGGAACTGGGAGACCCCTTCCTCCAGGCTGATGGGGCGCCCACAGTTTATTCTCCACAGGGAGCCGCAGACCCAGGAGGGCCAGACCCCTGGCTAGGCTCCAGCCTGCGGGCCACACCCAGGTGTCGCCGCCCCCCACTGGGAAGTTTCTTCCGCAACACGCTCCAAGCGTCCCCCCAGCATTTCAGGTCAGGGCTTCCCGCCTCGCCCAGATCCTGGAGCCCCTCCAGGGCCGACTGCAGGGCGTGACCCGCGTGGGACCCGGCGGGCCCAGAAGCCTCCCTCCGCAGGGCCTGCGGGCGGGGCCCCGGCGTGACGTCACGGCCCTGGGCCAATGAAGCCTCGCGGCCCCGGGGCTCTATTGCGCAACAAAGAGAACCCAGAACTTGAAAGGATTCCCCGGGTTCCAGGCGGCCTCCAGATGCACCGCCCAGCGCCCGCCGCCCCCCAGCTGCGCCCCACCCGCGCTGCCCCCCAACCGGCCGGCGAGGCCGGGCCGCGCCGCCGCCAGGGCGGGGCTCGCTGCGCGGAGCCTCCGCATCTCCGGCACGCCCCCCGCCCGCCACGCCCGCCCCCCAGTCCCCGGGTCCCTGCTCCTCTGCGCTCCGATACTCCCGCCCAACACGGCGCGTCCCAGCCTGCCGGTCCCTAGCGGGACCCCCAGCTCCACCCAGCCCCGAGGGCGCGTCCGAGCTCCCACCCGGGGGCCGGACGCCCCAACGGTTACTCTGCGTAGGGGGATGGGCCCAGTACCCCCAGACTGGCCGTCCCCGCTCCCTGCAAGCCGCGGGGCCAGACCCGGAGTTGGGGGGAGGGGCGGGGGAGAGACAGAGGGAGAGGCCGGCCCCAGGGAAGTTACCCCGAAGGTCCCCAAGTCGGGGGTGGCGATGCGCGGCGCCTCGGACAGACCACCGTGAGACCAACAGACCGCAGACAGCCCTCCCTGCCCAGAGCCTTCCCGCCGGGGGTCCTCCCTCCCGGGGTCCTCCCACCCAGCCGCGCTCGGGCTCGGGCGGCGGCGCTCACCCTGCATTCGGGCGCCCGGGGCTCCGGCTCGCTGCTCCCGCCTCCGGCTCTGGCTGCGGCTCTTGCGCTCCCCGGTCGAGCGCGGGCCGCCAGGGGCCGCGGGGGTGGCTGGCGGCGGAGCGGCCCGCGGGCCGGGGCATCCTGGCGGCGCCGCCCGGGGCTCGCGCGCTCGGCTCGGTTCAGCTCGACCCGCCGCCCCTCCCTCCACTCCCGTCGCCGCCGCCGCGCTCGGCTCCCGCCGCTCTGCTGGCTGCGCTCGGGCGGCCGGGGGCGGGGGGCGGAGCAGGGCGCATGCCTCCGCGCCGCCCCTCGGACCGCCCCGCCCCCGGAGGCGCGGCCCGGCGCCGGGCCCGTCTGTCCGCGCAACTGTCGGTCCTTGGTTCCCCCGCCCCTCGCCGCCGTGGGACTGCAGCCCCCTACGGAGGGCGGCCCTTTCGTCGCCGTCTGGGGTCGGTCCACTGCCCTGATGTCGCCTCCAAGCCAACTGGGAAAGAGAAGGCCCAGAGCTCTCGGGGCTGGCGGGCCAAGGGGGCCTGGGGCGAGAAAGGACAGAGCGAACCTAGGGCCGGGGGTGTGGGGGGCTCCTGGAGGCCTTCCCGGAGGAAGCCACATCTAAAGTGAACAATAGGGGTGGGGTGTGGAGGGGACGTGGGGCATCTGAGGATTAGCTCCTTCCAGGAACTGGGGAGTTTGTCGGGATCAGGGACTGGGGCAAGGAGGTGTTAAGTTTGGGCCAGTTAAGGATTCAGACTTATCCTGTATTGGGCAGCGGGGGTGGGGGGTCCATATCACGGGGTCCCATGTTGTTGCCCCAACCCCCATGGGCTCAGAAATGTTCTCAAGCTGGAACCAGGACAACACAGCTGGGAGAGACCAGGCCTACAACCCAGAACTCCTGGCCCCCCACCCAGGAGCAACCCACCTTAGCATTCCTGGCAGGGGCACAGGCTGCCACCCATAGACATCTAGAGGACATCCTATCAGTGTCCTTGACTGGGGGGGCCTCTGGAGACCACTGGAGTCACAAGAGAGTGATTGGTGGCATCTCGGTCTCCCATCCAGGCAGTGGACACTGCCTGTCTCCTCTCTCCTGTCTCTTCTAGATTGCCTGTGACCACACACCCTGGGCACAAGGCCTCCATCACTCTGGGCTGTTAGCACAGCCCTGCCCTTCCCATGCACCTGGGAAGCATTTACGAGCACACAACCCGGTGTCTGGAGGAAGGGGGCCTCGTCCAGACAGGACCAGACCCAGGCCAATGCTGCCTGCACCCCTCCACAGCCTGGCTCCCGCCCTGCCCACTCCCCCCATCTCCACATTCCAGGAGCCGCTGGGGAGTCAGGAGCAGCTGTTAGGAGACCCCTCGAAGGCCTTAGGATCAGTTCTCTAAGAGTAAAGGTGTTTGTATCCAAAGCCTCCACAATGAAGCGGGGCTGGTGAACAGGGCGCCTTGGGCCATGCACTCTGTGTATGTGGCTTCTGGGCAGTCAGGATCCCTAGTGAGCCCTCGGTGGAGAGGCAGCTCCCTGACCAGGCGGCCTTGGTTATAAATGGGCCACCAGCAGTGGGAAACTGGCACAAGGAGGCTGGTGATCAAGTGACATTTCTAAGGCAAACATAGGCGACCCAGTCATCCCTAGCTTTTGGCCACTCTGCCGCCCCACTAGCAGAGGGCAAACTGCCCCAGGCGTTTGGCTCCCCCAGCCCAGCTCACCCACTGCTGCTTTTACTGGTGTCCCTGCCCTGGGCTCAGCTGCCTCTGCGGGCGGGTCGGAATGGGCCTCCAGCAGCCATCCTGGGGGCCTTGCGCTAAATGCTGTCAGTCTGGGCTCCTCCCAGCTGCCTTGGGAAGTGGAATTTGGGTACCTGCCTTGCCCAAAGCCGCACAGATGAGCAGCCAAGCCATGACAGAGAAAGATGTGGATGTCCTGGTGTCCCCCTCCCCTCGGGGAACGCAAGGGCTCAGGCACTGCCATTACCAGCTCCGATTTCAAGGACCATGGTTTGGCCAGCCAGGCCTGGGCTTTCTGTGGACGGCCCCAGCCCGGGCACCACCCGTGGCCTTCAGGTCAGCGTGGGGGCTGGGTGGGGCTGGGTGGGGCTGGGACGGCTGCAGGCTCGGTGGCGGCGGCCTCCTGGGCCGTGTTTCCTCTCCCTGCTTCCAGGCAGGAAATAACCCCGTCAGCTGGGACTGAGGCCTGAGACGGATTCCGAAGCTCTTGGCGGTGTTTCTGCACATCTGCAGACGGGAGATGGAGGCGGTCTGGAGCCCCCTTCTCTCTGGGCCCGAGGGAGCCCCGTGAGAGGCTGGAGCTGCAGGGGCCAGGCTCCATCTCCAGGCTTCCAGGATGAGCCCCCACCACCAGGTGTGCTTGGTGGAGGAATCTTTCTCGGTCACGGGAGGTGAAGGACGGGCCCATGTTGTGGCCTTGGCAGCTCGGCTGCCCCAGAGGGTGCTGGTCTGGGCACGCAGCTTCCCATCTCACACAGGCACATCCGGGGCCGCAGATGTGCACGTGCACACACACGCACAGTTGTTCACTGGCACCATTCTCACACACAAACACACACACACGCTGCCCCTCAGACCCCCATCCCACAAGCCTTCCCGATAACCTGTTGGCCTGAGTGGCTGAGGGTTTCCACGACAGGCACAGGGGCCCTGGCACCAGCTGGGAGACTCCTTCTAGCAAAATCTCCGCCTTTATCCAGAAGGCCAAGGTGTCAGAGCTGCTTCCACTAAGAGGTGGAGGGAAGCCGGGGCAGGGCTCCTACATGCTGAGCGTGCTCTGGCCGGGCGGGCTCAGCTTTCTCTGCACATCAGCTTCCAGAGTCCTCGAAAGCACCTTCCACCTCCATCTACAGGAAGGCCGCGGGATGCTCAGGGCTGGCGTCTTGCACAGGCCAGAGAGAGGGCAAGTGAGGGGTTGGTGCCTCCAGGCCAGGACATGGAACTAGGGCCTTGGGAGGGAAGGAGTGTCCTCTCCAGCCAGCAAGTCATCAGGCACACCCGAGATCTGGGGTACACACAGGTATGGGCCCTCACTGGCGGGTGGGGGAGGGAGGAGAGGTGGGCCCATGGAAGCCTCTAGCCCCCGCATCTGTGCCCACCAGGAAAGCAGCGCCCCCCCGCCCAAGAAAAACGACCACCCAGGACCAAGGTCCAGCCAAAGAGCAGCTTTATTAGTGATGCTGGGTTCTACACACGCCGTAGTGTGCGCGCGTCTTCCCAAGGGACACCTCAGTGGCAGGGATAACACGGGAGCACTTACACCGGAGTCATAGAAATAAAGCTTTGGTGTGTAGGTTTCCGGGAGAGGGCACAGGTTAACACTGCAAGACGAACACTTCACACGACACCGGCTCTCAGTGTGGGTTGGGTTTTTGGCCAAGGGGGTGGATTCTACGTGACTGGACACTGGGGCCTCTCCAGGCCCAGCGCTGGGCGGCCCCTAGGGCTGGGACTCTGGCTGGCCCTGCCGTTTGGCCTTCATCTGCAGGTACCGCCCTTTGCCTTCCTCAAAGCGCTTCTTCTCGTCCTCGGTCTCGGGCTGTGGACCACACACGGAAACAGGCAGGTTAGCGAGGTCACAGAACCCTGACTGTGGGTCCGGAATCCCCCTACCCCTGCCACCCCCCAGGCTCCACCGGCCACCTGGGGCTGTCTGGGTGCTGGCCTCAGGACCAACTGGGAAGGAGTTCCTAGGGATGCAGCGTCACGGGTACCCCCACGCCACCCTTCACGGCAGGTGGGATCCCAAGCCCAGCGCCTCTTAGATAATAAAGTTCAGTGGGAGATGAGAGGTGGAAGGGAAGTCTAAACCAGGGCCGGGTGTGAGGAAGGAAAGACGGTCCCTGCTGGAGACACAGTGTTTTGTCCACTCACAGGGAATGCCAGCTGCTCAGTCCCTGCCCCAAAGGGAAGTGGGGACAAGCACTGTGCTGGCTGTGTCACCTTGGGCAGGCCATTTTATTGTAGCAGAAGCAATAGTGACTGCTTTGTGGGCAGGGAGCCCTGGACGGCGCTGATGACCAGGAAGCAGCTCCTTGGGTCCTGCTCACCCCTTCTCTGTCGTGTCCTTCCTCTAAGCAACCTAGGAAGCCATGTCCCCATACTCGGCAGCCGGGAGGCGGGGGGAGGCAGAGCCTACTGACCAGAGGGAACTGACCAAAGGCGGGTTTCTGCCTACCATCCCGGCAGGATTGTGAACCATGCCCCTATCACTTTTAAGAGTGGCCTGGTCTGGGGGCGCCCGGGGGGCTCGGTTGGTTAAGCATCCAACTCTTGGTTTGGGCTCAGGTCACGATCTCAGGGTAGTGAGATCGAGACCCACGCTGGGCTCCGTTCCCCAGCACGGAGTCTGCTCTGAGGCTTCTCACTCTCCATCTGATCCTTCCCATCCTCCCCCTCTCTCTCAAAATAAAATAAAATTAAATTTATAAAGAGTGGCCTAGCCTGGCTGCTAAGGGGTGTGGCCCAGGCACAGGTCACTCCCTGAGGCCCCATCCGTCCCACGCCCAAGTTCTCTCTGGCCCGCCCTGCTCAGGGATTCAGGCTTAAAGAGCTGCGCTGACTCCTCTGGGACATTTCCTTGCGATACTTCAAGGGTGTCTGAAAGCCAAAGAACTGGGGCAGTTGCCCTTCATCCACAAAGACACCAAGCCCCAGAGGCTACTTTCAGGCCCAAGTGTTTTACAGGCAAATGGGATATTGGCAAGAGAGCGAACAATCAGCCGGAGGATGTAATGTCAGTTTCAACCAAATATGTCCTCCCCTCAGCCTTCTCAGAAATTGTTCGCTAAATGTCACCAGGTGTAAACTGCCAAAACCTTGTGGCTCAGAGCCACAAGGGTATTTAAAGAACTTGATCACGCTCCTTCTAGTGGTTCTGGTGCCTATTTGAAGAGTCTTCGGAGCACACGTGGCCAACGGTGGCTTTCCGAGATGCTTTATTGAGGAAGGCCCTCCTGCCGTTCTGGTTCCATCCCTGGCTGACTTTTTTAAAAATGAAATTTGAGGCCATGCAATTTGACCTGAAACAGCCCAGCGAAACAAAATGTTCTCTCGGTTAGAGCGGGCCGTGCTGAGGGAGAGCGTCCTGGGGGCAGGAGGCCAGGGGCCCGTCCCTGTTGCTGAAGGCACCCTGCGAAGACAAGGCCGCGTTCTGCGGGGCCCAGCTTCTGTGCAACCCAGGCAGAGCTGCTCCCAGCTTCCGTGTGCATAAATCACCTGGGGGTCTTAAAATGCAGATCCTGAGGCAAGGGGTGTAGGGCTCAGGGCCTGAGACTCATTCCTAACAAGCATCAGATGATACGATGCTGCTGGCCTGGGGGCCGCTCTGAGCAGCAGGGCCCTGCGGCAAATGGGGGATAGCTGAGGAGGCCGAGAATGCAAGGTCAAGGGCACGAGGCCGGGACAGTGAGGCCTCTTGCTCCCTCTCCCCTGTGGAACGTGCTTGGCATGGTTGAGGGGACCTGTGGCTCCCATCCAGGTGCAGCTAAAGGCCAGGGCTCAGGAAAGTGGCATGGCTGGGCCCTTCTTCAGGGGGAAGGAGAGGCTGCAGCCCAGCTTCCCGCCTCCTCACAGAGGGGACCAGCTCATGGGGAATCAATGTGTTTGGGTCCTGGAGCTGGGAGACTGGCTGAGGGGGAGAGCACGGGCTGGGCCGCCTGCGGAGGGTCCTCCGAGCTCGAAAGGCCCAGCCCCGCCAGCTGCCGGAATTTCCATCCCTGGAGCAGGAGAAAGAACGCAAGAGGCTTGGAAAGAAAATAATTTCTCAAAACAAGAGTGTGAGCCTGGCCTGTGCGAGGCTGCGGGGTGGACTGATGGCCACCCAGGCCGTCTGCAGAGCCCACCAGAGCCAGGGCCCGATGGGAGGGGCCTTTCTGTGTCTCCAGCCCACCAGCGTCTCTGGAAACCGGCAAACATGGGACTCACATGAGCATCTTGGTCCCCAATGCCTGGGTCACCAGCCAAGGGCTCTCAGGGCTCAGAAGAGCAGGGAGGGGTCTAGAGGAGAGCAATAAATGGAACTGTCATCAGGGGTACCCTAGAAGATGGGCAGAAATGGCCCACCCAAGGGGCGCCTGGGTGGCTCAGTGGATTAAAGCCTCTGCCTTCAGCCCAGGTCGTGATCCCAGGGTCTGGGATCGAGCCCCGCATCAGGTTCCCTGCTCAGTGGGGAGTCTGTTCTCCTTCTCTCTCTGCCCCGCCTCCCTCTACTCCTGCTCTCTCTCTCTCAAATAAAGAAAATAATGTTTAAAAAAAAAAGCTGATCCTGACAGTTCTAGGAGGTGCCTAGACTTTGGCCAGCGCCACCCACCCTCTGGAATGGGCTGGCCTGCCTTGGGTCCCCACCTCACTGCGTGACCTTCCTGGACAGGCCTCTTCATTCTGCCCCTACACCAGCCCAGCCTCCCCTCTGGAGCCAGGGCAGGGGGACAAGCCAGGCTGGTTTGAACCGGGCTCCTCTGCTTACCATTGTAAGGCTCGCAGACTCTCATATATTCTACTCTATAAGATTGCAGGAGAGTCCCAAAGTCCTCTCAACTGTCCCCAACAAGACAGAGAAAGAAGACCCCCCCAGCCTCAAGTCAGAGTCTATTTAAACCAAACACGCAGAGTAAGCACGTCCACGGAGACAGCACAGGTTACTGGTGCCAGGGGCTGGGGGCGGGCGGACGACTAAGGGGTGCGTGGCTTCTTTTTGGGAGGATGCAATGTTCCACAATGGACCGTGGCGATGGTCGCACAATGGTGTGAACACTTGAACCCCCGCCGGCTTGGACACTGTGAACGGGGGGACTCTACAGTCCGTCATTATATCTCAAACCCACCCGAGGTGACACACCTCCTCACGTTTACAGAAAGCCAGAAAGAAGGTTCAGCATGGCGAGAGGCCTCCCACCCCAGTCCTGGCACACAGGGAGTGGCAGGGCAGAGGCAACGCTCCCCGAACCCCGCCCAGGACTTTCTCTCCAGCGGCCTCACGGGAGCCACTCTGGGCCTGGCACAGGGACCTGTCCCCGGAGCTGACGCTCCAGCCGGCAAGACGGAGGGCGACAGGCAGATCACGCGCGGTGAGAAAGTGACAATGACGCGGCCCCAGCACAAGGTCAAACCGAGCCAGGGGTCTCGCGGGACAGGTGCCAGGGAGGCTCCACAGTGGGGAGAGCAGCCGGGTGGGCTCCAAGGGACACAGAGGTCTGCCAGTCACTTGCCACCAGCAACAGCTGCTGTCCTCCCGTCAGGTCAGGCAAGTGGTGGAGCCAGGCCCGTTGGGCAGAGCGAGCCACCTCGGGAACGGCCTCCCTGGGAAGGAGCAGAGGGCGGAGTCCCAGGATCATTGCAGATACCTCCTCTGTGCAGTGGGAGGCCGATCTCCTGGGTCCGTGTGGATATGAGGAGCAGACAGAGCGCCAGGCCATCTCCGGCCCCAGGCCTCAACACAGGGGCTCCACGCCGTTGGGGCGGGCAACGATCTGGATGACCTTACGAGCCCTTCTCTCTCCGACCAATGCCGTGTTTACGAATAGGAGCCGGACGCTGGGTCATTGGTCCTGTAGTGGCTGTGAAGACAGTGGGGCCCCGGGCCAGGCCTCTACGGGGCAAGGAGCTGCCCAGAGTCTAGCCCAGCGGAAAGAACAGTCAGCAACAAAGAAGGCCGCGCCCTGCGCTCCTTGAGAAGCACACTGAGCCGTTCGCAGGTGATGATGAGATCTGAGCTCTGCTTCCAGCGGCCCGGCGGTGGGGTGGGCAGGGCACCTGTGAGCAAGACTGGGCCCGTGTGGCTAACTACAAGGGGTTCTTTCTTCTCTTTACTTTTGCATATAGTTGAACTTTTCCATCATTCAAAGGTAAAAAAAGAAAAACCAACTAGACCCATCAGGGCAGCTGCTGGGACCCCTTCTCCCTTCCCGGATCACAAAGGGCTTCCAGTCACACGCAGTCAGTCGAGGGGCTAAGTCCGGGGTTGGAGAAGACCTGCTCCCCCAACACCGGGCTCTAGTGCCCATCTAGCACCTTCCTCCCGGCCAGAACAACCGCCATGTCCTGGGCTCACCCACACGCCTGTGACGAGATCCCCCCAACTGCCCAGGTAAACCTCCTGCAAGGACCAAGCCCAGAGCCTCCTGCGCCTTCTCCCACGTGGGCTGTGCCCAAGGCATGGACGTGGGGTTAGGGACGAGGAAGTTCTCTGGGCAACAGCTCGAAGGGAGTGGCCTGATGCGTGCCAGGACCACATCCGCCCGTCGGAGTCTACACGACAACCCAGGAGGAGCTCTGAAGTCACCACTGTTTCCCTTCTCCCGGTGAGGACGTGAGGCGCAGACACAGCCAGGGACTTGCCCAAGTGGCAGCTGGTCAGCAGCAGGGCCTCGACTCGGGCCTGGGCGCTGCTGCTGGCCCGACTCATTCCATGCTAATGGGCTCTGGCCGGCAGGCTCAGCAGTAGGCAGAGGGGGTGACGGCGACCCTGCGGGGTGGCCCTGGTGAACGGGCTGGGCCTGCCCTCCCAGAACAAGCCTGGAGCCCACCTGGACTTGCAAC